CCAAGGCTGCAGCCCCAAGACCAGCAACGCCACTTGATCCACTGGGACAGCCCCGCGCCTGGGCTGGGTGAGAAATGGGGCCCAGGTTGTGCTCTCTGCCCAGGAGGATGGCTGTTACTCATTTTAGGTTTTAATCTGGGGAACCAGCACAGGCTGTACAGCCAGAGCATCCGGGGCACTGGTTTAGGGGGTAGGGGGGTCAACCGGACCTCACGTGGAATCACTGCTCTTACTAATGGTGTAAACTCTGGAGAGATACTTAAATCTTTCTAAGCCTCCATTCTTTCATCTGTAAAATGATATCCACCTGTGAGAGTTATAGAAAATAACAAATGTCAAATGCTGAGCACTGTGCCTGCCATTCAATTATAGCAGCTGGTGAGACAGAGAGGTGTTGAGGTGTACTTCCAGAACTATGACTCTAGTCTAGCCCCTTTGGAAGGTGGCTTGGAAGGGAGTAAGACCAGTGGCAGGAATGAACCCAAATGCACGTGGGAGCACACACTCACCATCCTACAGAAAAGATGTGACTTAATTAGAAAGTGAACAAGGGGCAGAGGTGAAAAGGCTTCCAAGGGGAGGTGACATGGGAAATGGGTCTTGTTAAGAGGAGAAATGAGAAGCCAACAACACGGAGGAGGAACAGGAGCAAGAAAGGCCAAGGTGTACAGGCGCAATTGGAACCCAGAGCCAGCAGGTCTGTGGGAGAGGGGCAGGGAGGAAGTCCGACGGGGGTCTGCACTCAGGAGGTACACACAAGTGACCACTGTGGGGGGGAGGGGGTGCAGAGCTATCACAAGTCGGGCCAGATTCCCTTGTCAGGCCCTAAATTCCAGGCTAATGAATGTGGAATTTATTCTGTAGGTAACAAAGAGCCTACTCTTTTATTAGAATTATCTATTTCCTACCCACTGACCCATGAAAAATTTTCCAGAAAGAAGGGAGACTGGATAGAAGTGTTCCCACTGTCCGCTGGCTCTCCTGAGTTCAAACAAAACGAACCAAATCGTTTCAAGCTCCATTATACCCAAGGCAGAATGTCCTCTCTCTCACGTGTGCACTGAGGATAATAGGAATAGCCGACTCACTCCATCTGAAGTGCTCTGACTTAACTCATTTGATCATAATAGGACCAATATTATTATTTTCCCACTTTATGGATAAGGAATGAGACACCAACCATTAAGTAACTTACTTGAGGTCACTCAACTAGTAATGGGCAAATGGACCATCCAGCACAGGAGGCTGCAAAAAGGATAAAAGGTTTCTCAGAGAGGGTCCAGGCCCACATGTGGCCAGCATGCCCCAAGGGAAAGCCATGCTGCCATGTGAGGGCTCTTGGGAAGAGGGCGGATCAGAGGAAAGGTGCCTCTCTCCTCCAATCCAGCACTAAAGCACCTGAGCTTTGTCTCCCTTCACAGAGTCAAGTCTAGCTCTTGGGGGGCTGAAGGTTACACCTCTCCAAGCAGCCTAGCAAAGGTTTGCTCCTGGAGCAGATTGCTCCTGGAGCAGTGGGAAAAGAGGGCCATCCTAGAATGCCCAGGTCATAAACTGGGAGCCAGGTTCCTCTCTCCTCCCACAATCAACCCGCAGGAATGGCACCTCAGCTACCTCTTCAGGGACTGATGCTGGGGTGAAGGGAATGTGCTTCGTCCAGAGCTGCTGCTTCCCTCCTAATAGACACCTGTCTTCACCTCCATCTTCTGCTCTCAGCCCTATACTGCTCTTCCGTAAGGTCAGTCCTACCTGGGCCATGCCAACCAGAAGTTGTGTGCAGAAATGAAGGTGGTCACTCAACAGAATTTCTCAAGTTATCTGATAAATTTGCAGGTAAGAAGGATTTCTGCTCAAATCCAGTTGGAAAGTGAGAGACCTGAAGTGAGAAGAACAAATTCCAACTCCGCCTGGAAGTGGGGAAGGAAACATAGGATTAAACAGTGTTTTGAGGACAACCATTAACATTCAAGTCTCTCATCTGGGCATACATGAACTAGGTGCCATCTGACTCTGAGCAACTTTTCCATGTGCTAACCTGATGTGTGCAAACGCCTTTCCCAACATTTAATCACTTTCTGCCCAAGAATACAGAGGCCGTTCTAGTGGTCCTTCTGCTTTCTGACCCAGGCAAATGAGAAACGGCCTAGAAAGTGCGTGTTAGGGAACAGGAGTGCTTAGACCCAGCCATCATCCCGCACATCCTCTCCCTCCCCTTCTCTGTCACCTGCCCAGGTATTGGACCAGGAGTGACCCTCCTCCCAACCCTGGCTACCTTAAAGGACCAAAAACAACAAGCATTCTTGCTCTGGTGTGAACTGAGAGAGGACCTTTGTTTCAACCACCTAGCCTGTAGTTTTCCCTAAGGTTTCTGAATTATTATCACCAGGACATATGGTAGCACCTGAGCCCTTCCTCGACTGACTCTCTGGGGGTCACACATTTGGTGTGTCAGGAGGGAGGAGTGGTAGGTGGTGTTCCTTTTCTCTTCCTTGCCTTCTTCCTATTTTTCTTCCTCTACACACCATCCATCCAGAGGAAATTCAAGATAGCCACATTCCTCACCTCTGAAATAATGGGAAAAGGGTTGAATGTTTTATGGCAGCTTCCTTCTTACAAATGGCTTGCATTCCAGATGCCAGGGCAGCCACTTGGAAATCAGAACCTATTTTCCTAGGAAACACTACTATGCATGGTGATTCTCAGCCCAGCCCAAAGAAGCCCTTTACAAAGAAGCCCAAAGAAGCCCTGAAATATCACACTAATAAACCAGGTGAGCACATGCAACTTCAACAGGGTCTGGTGCACTGGTGAAATCCCTGTTACATTCTGGAGTGCCAGCGACGGGGGCGCGATCCTCTCGGGTCCAGCACTCTGCATAATAAAGACACTTCCACCTTCTGAGGGGCCCCTCACCAGTCAGAACAAGCTCAATTAGGAGGTGCCTTTTTTGAGAGGCGAACATTCTACTTGGCAAAATTTGCCCGATGGAGGGGAAGGTTGGGCTGCAAACCCAGGCTTCCCCGTTGCCCCACTGCTCATGAGGAGAGTGTGAGAGCATTATTGTGCGTGTGCTTTGCAGAAAGCCCATTCCGTATGCTCTTACTGCAGCTGCAGCCCTCCATGACTCGACTGTCTTTATAATGAGGAAGAATAAAAGCAAAGTCCTTGAAGAAGCAAGTTCATTTTGGTTTTTCAAGGCATGTCAACAGCAGCCCCAGACTTTGCAATCCTTTTTACCTTGTACTTCCTGCTCGGAGCCTCACATTTGTGCGGTGTTTGCTGTAACTGAAAACGCCTTGATCTCTAGAAGATTGTGTGGATGCAGATGGATCTGGAATTGTCAGCTCAGACCGGTCTCCAGCGGCTGGGAGCCCTGAGACAACCAGAGCTGCCTGTCAGGAAGCTCCCTACCTGAGCCTGTTTCTGCCATCCAGAGTGATCTGGGACCTTGCTCCTATTTGTGAGACTTGGAGATGAAAGCAGAAACCACATTAATTACTGCAAAGTGCTTTTTACTTTTAAAGTGCTTCACTAGCATTAATTAGTTATTCCTGCTTTCAGCACTCCAGCGAGGTGAGTCTGGATTATTACCCCTTTTCCACTTTGGAGGAAATGAAGACACAGAAATGTAATGACTCCCCAGGGAGCTGGGGAAGTTAGTCTCTTAGACAGAGTTAGGTTTTCAAGGCGGTGTCTGTCTCCTCCTGGGGTCTTGCTTCTCTGGCCTACCTTGCTGTCCCAACTAATACCCGGAGAGCTGCATGTGCAGCACGACCTGTGTCTGCCATCATCAAAAGGAACAGTACCAGTATGGCCTTACCTGTGGTTGAAAACCTGCCAGACCTGCTGATCATGGAAGTTACATGAGGATGGTGAGTAGGGTTGGCAACATTCTTATTCATAATTATACTGTTGCTTAACATATATAAACATATTTAGCACTTGCTATGTTTCAGAGACTCTTCTGAGTTATTTACACATGTAACTCACTTAACCCTAACAGCCCAATGAAGTAGATATTATCATCATCCCTATTTTACCGGAAAAGAAACTGGGACACTGAGAGGTTATGTAACTTGCCAAAGTCACACAGCTGGAATGTGTTACAGCCAGGGTTCGAACCAGACAGTCTGTCTGCAGAGTTGTGGTTCTTAACTCTCTTACAAGCTGCTTCTCAGAAGTATATTCTGGCTCATTTGAAATAAGCAAAACACCATGCAATTTCCAATTTCAAGTTTCATTTTATCTTTTTAAAATGCAATCTGTCAGAAGTCTTGAATATTTTGGAACTAATAGGGCTTTTGAGCTGTCAAATGGATGTTACAAAGACTATACTCAAAGGAGTGACTACTCAGACCTTTGGGTTCCTACTGGACAGCTGTTTACACACACACACCGCTTCCCAACAGTTTTCTTAACCACTCTCCAAGCACACAGTAAATTAGAAGGAAATAAAAGTCTGCTGCAAGCCAGCATGCTGGCAGTATCAGGAAAACATTACTATAAAGCCTGACAGTGAAAAAGACAGAAAAACCCTAAAAGCGATTGTAAACCTTGCAGCATGCAGCCCAGCTTCATGTAATAATATTGAACAGCCTCAACTCTCTGACCCTCTATCCCAACTTCTTATACAAATACCCTTTTCTCTGTGTTGAAGCCATTTCCAGTGCGGTTATCTATGATTTTCAGACAAAGGCATACTGCTTTAGGAACAATGGGGATTATTTTACTTAATTCGGTGTACTATGTTTAAGAAGGCAGGTAGCGTATAATACATTTTTAAAGACTTACATGTAAAATAGTTACAATTTTTTAGAGCTTAAATAGGTAGGTCAGGGATCGGGGATCAGACATTTTTTACTTCTTGGTTGGTTGGATGGTTGGGAGAGGTGCTTGTTATTTTGGGTTTGCACTGTATGGCAACATTTTTTTTTTTAATTCCATTGTCCTTAAAAGGGTTATGTGCTCTCTGTGAACACCACAGTCCCCACACTCCTTTTTTCAATTGAAGTTTTATTTGAAGATGATTATAGGTTCACATGCAATTGTAAGAAATAATACAGAGAAATCCCATGTTCCTTTTCCCCAGTTTCTACTCTCCATCTTACAAAACTCTAGAACCACATCACAACCAGAATACTGACATTGGTAGAGTCAAGGTACTGACAGTCCAATCACCACAAGGGTCCCTCACAAACACCACACCCATCCCATCACCACCCCCACCCTAGACTCCTCATCTATTCTCCATTTATATAATTTTTCACTTTAAGAATGTTGATATAAATGGAATCATACACTGGATAGCCTTGTAGATTATGCTTTTTTACTCATCATAATTCTCTGGAGAGTCATCCAAGTTGTAGAGTAAATCAGTACCTGGTTCATTTTATTGCTGAGTAGTGGTCCATGGTATGGATGAACCACAGTTAAATACTCTCATTCATTTTTCCTTTAAACATAGACTACTTTCCTGATGAGGAAAGCAGTTGAACTTGTGCTTTCAGGGTAGTTTTTCTTGGGACGTGAAAAACTCAGATACCCAGAATGATTGACTTCCTCCCAGCTCTGTCTGAGGATTATACATGTCCACAATTTTAATCCCAGGGAAGAAAAGTTCCCCTACACATTGCTGAGTGTCAGCCCTTACTATCAGCTGGTGCATACTCAGGAAAAGCAGCGTTGAAACCAACTTAACCAGGACAGTTGATATGAACCAAAATAATCATCCTATGAGACATTCAAAGACAAATACAGAATTCTTTAGAGATGATTCTGCTTTGTTTTTGCCTTCTGGTAGCCAGCTCCTTTTGTGAGCATAGATAAGGACTAAATCCATTCAGAACTCTCTAGCTGCTTATCTTGTACCCACCCACCTCTCACTGAGTCTATTTAGACTTAAGAACATTCCTATATTAAGTGTTTTACCCTTTCTCTTAGTTAATTTTTCCTTTTCCATTTGGCTAACTTCTGTGACTATCATCTTCATTTTTAAATATCTAATTGTTATATGGTATAAATTCTACTAACCCTAAGACACTCATATAATATACTTCATTCAATAAATATTTTTGAGTACCTAATCAATGCCTTGACTACATTTAATGATTATTTACACACATTTCTTATAAAATAAATTCTTTAAGCCACTAGCAGAGTTGTTATTAGGGTTCTTTAGAAAATGGCCATCAGGTCTTTCGCATTAATAGCAAATGCTTTAAAATGGTAATTCAACTGCTTTGCTAGGCTATCTTTCAGGAATTAGATATGTATAGTTCAATCAGCCTACTCATCTAGGTCTTGAAAGCAATAACCTCTTTCCACCATGATATATTTTCCTTTTACTCTTTACATCCCTTTCCTTAAATTCCGAAGCCTGGGTCCCTGCCAATACCTCTCTGAATGAAACCCACCGGCAGGGTTGCTCACTTGCCATCCCTCGGCACTGGCGGAGGACCCTTCTTTGCTCCAAGCACTGGGGATTTGGTAAGAATAACTATTTCACTTGTCCCCCACGTTAGCATGGTAACTATGACTGTAAAATTAATATGATCTCAAGGTAAGTATGGCTTCCTGCTTTATAGATGAGGTCTCTGAGTTTCTCAAAAATCTCAGAGTTGATAAGTAACAGAGCCAGGACTCAAACTCAGGTCAGTCTCCCATCAGAGACCATTCTCGGGGACTTGGCCAACCAATTTACAGACAACACCTTCACCCACCTCACTAATAATATAAATTATTACCACCAATCTTCCTTATAAAGAACAATTTGGCTCCATCCTTATTGTTTCACGTCTTTAGTGCTGCACATCAGGCTCCCAGGAAACAGGATTCCAGTGGAGACTTGGGTCCCACAAGGCCTCTTAAGAAGTGCTCTGTGGATCAAGACCTGTTGAGGGGTAAAGGAAATAGGATTGGGTGCAGGAAACATTGAACTTCAATGCTGTAAGAACATGAGCCTCATCTGACCCAGGGGGAGGACAGAAGTGACCCAAATTAAGTCAAGGTGGCGGTTCCCACGTACCCAACCATAATCAGTTACTGGGTGAACAGTGCCCCAGGCAGGACCCTGGGCCCCACAAATCTCAGAAAGGGTCTCTGAAGAGCCTCAGCTGCCACCACTCCTGGCTCTGGGGGAATGACTGCTACGTAGGTGGGCACTCACCCCTTTACTCCTAACTTGTTCTCTCATCTCATTTCCAAATCTTTCATGTCTCTTAGAATATTTGTGGACTGGAGAAAAACAAGCCAAACTTATACATTTTTTCCTACTTTTTTTTTTTTTTTTTTTTTAATAAAAGGTCCCAGGATTGTTTTATAATTTTTTTTTTCTCTTCCCCAATACAAGTAGCAAACTTTCTCTCCAGTGACTCAGCTCACTTCAGAAAAAACTCAAAGGATAGTCTCCCTATTTCTTCACTGCCTCAGCCTCTGAAAGGGTGGGCTTGGGTGGTGAGTTCTCCTGCTAGAACTCTGGGGTTGGCCTCTCCTAGTTTGCCACAGCAATTCTTTTCCTGAAACCTTTCCTTTCCATTCCAGCCCTCCTCTCCATCCCCAGCACCTCACCCTACCCATGCCCTCATTGCTTCTTACCTGTACCCTGACCAAATCTCCTACCTGCTCCCACTTTCCCTTTTAGATGCACCCTACTCACCTTTTATTACCCTAGTGATCTTTCTAGACACAAGCCTGCCATGTGAAGGCTTTGTCCATTGTTTCCAGGGTTAAGTCTTAAGTTCTTTCTCTCACATTCAAGACCCACTTGATCTGACTGACCTCTCCCCATCAACACACATAATACTGAACTGTCTGCAGATTTTCCTCATCCACTACATTATTCCTACCTCCATGCCTCTTCATATACCTACTGTACCTTCTTTCTGGAATCCTTCTTACACCAGCTTAACTCCTTCAAGACCCAGAAAGCCTTCCCCACCATGAAGTAACCTGGGCTCCAGAGCCTGCCTCGCCCTCAGCCCTGGCTCCATAGCACTTAGATCTACCTCACCATATCCCACATGCTCAGATCCTGTCCTGCAAGACATGCAACGGGACAGGATCTTTCCTTTTTTGTGTTCCCTTGTAGGCACAAGGAACACAGAATAAGAACTCAAGATAAACCTATTGAACTGAACAGACCAAACCCCTCTTCAGTGTCTATTCCAGATATTTCCTTTATGTCCTACAACTTTCTTTCTCCTCAAAATACTGGCTTGCCCCAAATGTACTAATTTTCACCATTTTTTTTCCAGGTGGTTATCAAGCAAAAGTATGATCCACATTAAGTATGCTGGTGTTAGAAAACATCTGTATTGTAAAAGAAAATTTGGAATGTTGATTTCTCTAAAAAAGACTACTAGCCTAGCTTTCTTTAACTAGGAAGTTCCAAGTATCTGCACAAAGAGTAGATGCATGATCTTCAAACTCCAAATGGTGAGGACTCTTTTACTTTTGTCTTTATATTTTTGTATATCATTTGAATATTATATAATGATCATGCTTTATTACTTAAAATAAAAAAGAAATGCAAATTTATGTTCATTGTGGGGAAAACAAAGAAAAATGATAGGGTTCCAGATGACTTTTTCTTCTTTAAAAAAATAAAAAGTAGAATTATGAAAAAAATAGCATTCAAGTCCCTTAAATTAATCTCTAAGTTCAGTAGCAAGAACAACTTGTAAATCTGTAGGACTTTATGCCCAAATGTATTTACATTATTCAATTTGAAAATTGTTTCTTTCTCTATAATTTCCAATGTTATGTTCAGGGCACTATTATGATGTTAAAGATGCAAACCATGAACCATAGAGTAAGACCAGGAGCCTCACAGTAAACTAACTCTTGGCAAGTTAATCTAGTTCTCTGAGCCCACAGGGCTTCAAGTGTAAAATCTCTGCACAGGATTCTAGTTACAACAAGAAAAAGAAACAATATATGTACAGTTGTTTTAGAAAGTAAAAGACTGAATATACCATGATAATAAGTGGAAGAAGGGTTATGGTTAATAACAATATTCTTGAAGTAGCCATTGTCCCCATCCCTTGGAGCCCCTGTGCTGATCTGCTTGAGTGGCAATCACCTCTGAAAGGGCACCCCTCCCCTTCAAGGCTTTCTTCAAAGGATTGTTTTCTGTCCTCATCACACTGGACCAGCTCCCAGGTACTTGTGTTCTTTGCCCAGCTCTCCCTCAGACATTAACCCTAGGACAGCACTGAATGTTCACACTGATGGCCATTATCATTAGCTGAAAAGCAGCCTGAAAGTACAGTCTTCACTAAACATATACATATTCTCCTTTGTCCTTTCTCATATACCTTATTAGGAAACAGTGTTTCAAAAATGATTTGATTAAGCATTTAGTTGCCCAATCTGGAGAATCTTTTTTTTTTTTCTTAAATAAGTCTTAATTGTTCAGATTATTACAATTGTTCCTCTTTTTTTTTCCTTCCCATAGCTCCCCTCCACCTGGTCCATAAGTGTCCAATTTTTGTCCAATCTCTCCCAGCACACCTACACTCCCTTCCCCTGAGAATTGTCAGTCCACTCCCCTTCTGTGCCCCTGATTCTATTATATTCACCAGATTTATTCTGTTTATTCAGTTTATTCTGTTCATCAGATTTTTTTCACTCAATTTTTAGATTCACTTGTTGATAGGTATGCATTTGTTGTCACTTAGTGGTTCATAATTTTTATCTTTACCTTTTTCTTCTTCTTCCTTTTCTTAAAGAATACCCTTCAACATTTCATTTGCTGGTTTAGTGGTGATGAACTTTTTTTAGCTTGTTCTTATCTGTGAAGCCTTTTATCTGACCTTCAATTCTAAATGATAGCTTTGCTGGGTAAAGTTCTTGGTTGTAGGTTCTTGCTATTCATCACTTTTAGTATTTCTAGCCACTCCTTTCTGGCCTGCATAGTTTCTGTTGAGAAATTAGCTGACAGTCATATGGGTACTCCCTTGTAGGTAACTGTTTTTATCTTACTGCTTTTAAGATTCTCTTTGTCTTTTGACGTTGGCATTTTAATTATGATGTGTCTTGGTGTGGTCCTCTTAGGATTCCTTTTGTTTGGGGTTATATGTGCTTCCTGAACTTGTAAACCTATTTCTTTCACCAGGTTGGGGAAATTTTCTGTCATTATTTCTTCAAATAGGTTTTCAATTTCTTGCTCTCTCTCTTCTTCTGGCACCCCCATATTTCAGATGTTGGTATGCTTGAAGTTGTCCCAGAGGCTCCTTACACTATCTTCATATTTTTTTATTTTTGTTTCTTTTTGCTTTTCCAATTGGGTGTTTTTTGCTTCTTCATATTTCAAATCATTGATTTGATTCTTGGGATTCTACAGTCTGCTGTTGGATCTCTGTATATTATTCTTTATTTCAGTCAGTGTATGCTTAATTTCTAATTGGTCCTTTTTCATATTCTTGAGGATCTCACTAAATTTCTTGGAGGTTTCTAGAAGATTCTTGAGTAACCTTATAACTGTGGTTTTAAACTTTATATCCTGTAGTTTGCTTTCTTCCATTTCTTTCATTTGTGACATGTTTCTTTGTCTCTGCATTTTGGCTGCTTCCCTTTGTGGATAGAGTGGCTTTGTATGCTAGGTGTCCTATAGGGCCCAGTGACTCAGCCTCCACAGTCACCTGAGATGGACACTCTTGGTGCACCCTTTGTGGGTTATATGCACAGTCTTGTAGTTAAGCCTTGATTGTTGTTGGTATCACTGGATAGAATTGACCTCCAGACCAATTGGCTGTGAGGACCAGTTGCGTCTACAATGGGAGAACTGCTGTGTTGGAAACACCCTTATGGGATAGGACTTGCTTCAGAGGAGCTTTGGTGCTCATTGAGTCTGCTCCCTGAGTGTGGATCTTATGGATCTGAATAATTATCATCTGGTGCAGTCTCAGTTTGATCATTGGGTACACTAGCTCTTGGATCTCCAAGGAGGCTGGTAAGTCAACCCCTGCCTGAGACCACCCAGCAGGATCTACAGACAGATCTGAAGTTTCCTCCTCTTAGTTTGGGGTTTGGAGGTGCCCAGATTAAGCACAGCTGTGAAGCAATTCAGGTTTAGGCCGTCTTTTGGTAGCTCTAGGGTTCTTTGACCCAGCTGCTGTTTGTAAGGTTAGGTTGTAAAAGGCCAGGGCCATTCATTTGCAAACACCTCTGCACACATCTTGGGTGGGATTGTAAATTGGGTTGGGCATGGTCTTAGGGAATCACTGAGTGGAGCCATGGCTGCCAGTCTGCTCTGCCCCAGATAGGTCCCTGGGTCCCTGTGTCCCACCTTCCCGTGCAGGAACAATGATTACTGCGACCACCTCTGAGAGAAAGCTGCCCTCGTGTTCCAGCCTGATGCCAGACAATCCAGTTTCTTACCGTAGGAGTCTGGGTCCCCAGAGTCTCACCTGGTACTGGAGTGCAGAGCAGTCATGAGTTTGTATCTCCCTCCTGATTGAAAAAGACAGCAGTGTACTCAGTTGCCAGCCCATTTCCGTGCACGCCTCTGTGCCTTCACCCTTTCGCACTTCTGTACCTCCTACCAGTCTATATGCACTTTTCTCTTTCCTTCTTGTTGTAGAACTTCTCTCAGCCAGCCTTCCCATGGTTCTGGATGATGTCCATTTTTTCTTTTAGTTGTAGTTTTGATGTGGTTGTGATACCGAAATTTTGGACTGGAAGCCAGAATCTTTATCTGCCAGAATTGAAGAATGAATTCATAGGCAGAAGAGTGGTATAGTAAAGATGGATATTTATTGAAGAACAAGTAGACTCCTACATAGGGAAGAGGAAGAGTCCCTGAACTGACTCCCATGTGGGGAGGAGGAAGAGCCCCACTGAGTCCCTCTTCCCTACAGCTTGTGAAGGCTGCAGATCCTAGTGTCTTGATATCCCCTCTGACTGGTCACTATTCTTTTAGACTGGCTACTATGGTAACTCCCAGGCTCAAAGATTGGACCTCACATTGTACATGTGAGGTTCTCCCTTCCTCCTTCCTTATTATTTTCCTATTCCCTTTGGGCTTTCTTCCTCTCCTTTTGAATGAAGGGCTTCCTTCTCTTTATTTTGTAAATATAGATCTTTCTTGGATACTTCCAGTTCCCTTGTCTTATGTAAATATACCCGTTGCAGCCTTCTTGTCTTATAAAAATGTAACTGCACCTGGTTTCTTTGTGTTATGGAAATGTACCTTCTCCCAGTCTACAGCCCCGTGCTTTTCCCATGGATTCCAATTCTAAAAATATCCCTAAGCCTGCCTGTGTTCCCCTAACATTCCTGCTTCAGTTGTGTGAGACAGCATGTTCAGATGTTTACCTATGCCACCATCTTGGTTCCTCCTGGAGAATCTTTTTTAACAAGTTTTAGGGCAGAATCCTGAACTCTGCTGGCTTACGTCATCCAATAAAAAAACTAAAATCACTTCTGTTTACATTAAGTCCCAATACATCCTTACTAGGTGGGAAGTAAATTGTCAGAACTCCATAAGTTTTCTGTATGATGTATCATCAGTTATCTTGGATTTAATCACAAAGCCTGTGAGTGAAGGTGATCAGACTGAAACTAGAGTCTCCACACCATAACTGCTTGGCCCATGGGACAGTATTTTCTTCTCTTTTCTTTTCTGTTCTTTTCTTCTCTCTTCTTTTTTCTTTTCAGTAACTGAAAAGAAAGGGAAGAAACAGAAATGAAAGTATTTATCAATGACAAAGGGAATACCATCTTAAGATGCTCCAAAGGATCTGGCATCCAGTATCTCATTAAAAGAATACTGGATTCCCAACTTTGCTTTTTTAAAAAACTGAACTACATCCTCTAAAACAATAGCATCTTTGTCTGGGAAAAACACCTGGTTTACTTATGTGGGTTGACAATATATCTGTGGGGGTAGAAGTAGAGGGCAGTCAAGTTTCACTAGTATCACAAAATCAGTAGAGTAATTAAGAGCTTAGACTGAAGCCCCTGAAACAGTTGCCCCTCCCCCATCACCACCACCACCACCAGAATGGCTATAAAACATGTGAACACAGACTTAACCTCTCCTCTCCATCTCCTCATCTATGAAATGGAGCCAAGCATACCTGACTCACAGAGTGGTGAAGGTTAAATGAGCTAAGGAATGCAGAGTGCAAAGTAGAGAGCCTGCTGCCTAGTGATCACTCACATCAGCTATCTTTGTCATCTCCATCATCGTCAGCAGCAACCACAAACTTCCAGTCATTTGCTGCAAAGAACTGTCCAAGGCGTGGAAGGAGATGTTTCTAGGCTCTCTTTAGGAAGCATATTGGAGAGACTTAAGAGGTTCTTTATCAACCATAACAATGAATTTAAACCTGCTTGAGAAGCAACCTATTAACTATCATCATTTTTCTTGAGCCACAAAGCAAATTGTATCACATAAGCATTAACTTTTAGCCATACAAATACTTCAAACTAACTAGTTTAAAAAGTAGGTAAGAGCAAAAAAAGATCCATTTGCCTGCATATTTGTAGCAGGGTGCTTTTAAGCTTAAATCGGCTGTTTTTCAGGAGTTGGCCCACAATCCCACTAAACTATAGTAGTCTCACTGCTGCTACTTTAATATCACAGTTTCCAGGGGCAATTCTAACACTAAGTGGTAGTCCTTGTCACCATCAACTTAAACTTTTTGTGGAACTTTTGCCCGCTTCTCCAGTCTTGTGTTTTAGGACATTCTCCCTTTTCCCCCATACATGGAGTCATGTCAGCCAGTCTTGCTGAGCATCATGCAGAACAGCCTGTGCTCACAATGTAAGAACACGCTGCCCTATTGCTGCAAGCCATAAACTTCAAAGCACAGAATAGCATTCATGTTTCTACCTCTGGAAGAAGATAAAGCAGTGACTTCATGGCCATTTGTTTCAGAATTTACTCACATTATAGCCCTGAAAACATCCACTGTTTTGGCCCCACTGGCTCTCTTGAGGGAGGAGTATATGCTTTTATGGCAGAACCACTGTGTAAATTCTCAGGGTTATCCGAAGTACACTCTGGCTTTGGCAAAACTCCCAACACCTGGTGCTGTGGTCCCAGATTAAGGGCCATACTGTATCAGCCATCCTCACCATCCCTGCAGGAATGAACCAATTTGGAAGGAGCCGCTGGAGGGCTTCGTACTTAGGATAGTTACAAGATTAGTAACAGAGCATCGTGAACTTTACTGAATGCTCAAAGTATTTCTACTTGTCCAGAGACTTATGAGGCAGCTGACCGGGATGTGCTGAATAGCAGAGTGAAGGGGAAACCGACTTGTCAAGAGGCAGAAAGTCTTAAGGCCCCAAATTGACTTATTCAAACATCCATCTTTGTTCACAGTCTGAAATTCATTCACATAACTCAGCCAATGCCAGCTTCCAAAGAATTAACAAG